AAATGTGATAGTTATGCTTTTTACTAAAATTGTTGAGATTTTCTTTCTACTGTTTTTTGAATATTTAGACATTGTAAAATTCATGTGCAAATGACTGCCTTATTATCTGAAAACTGATATTTTTGCATTTGATTATAGCATTGTCTGTGAAATGTTTATATACGAATATACATCCCATAAATTGTGATAATTCCGTATTCTTGAATTTTTATAAGAGTTTTTCTATACATATTAGATAGGAAATTATGCTAGAATGTCTTTATGAACTGCTACCTTTCTAAATTTGAGCCCAAAATATTTGACTGGTTATTTTTGAAATGTTATTGAAAGTGACTGTTATTAATGGTTTTAGTGAAATTCATATTAATAACTTCAGTAATATGTTGAGTACATGATATTGCTGCTTTCGAATGTTTAAGGAGATTTAGAAATACTTTAAGTATGCAAGTGGACTCATCCGGTTCGACGGTGAGGTATAAGTGGACCTATCCGGTACGGCGGTAGGGACTAAGTGGACTTATCCTGTACGCCGGTGAGGTATAAGTGGACCTGTAGGGATTAAGTAGACCTATCTGAGACCCCGATAGGGATTAAGTGGACCCATCAGAACGCTAATGGGGTATATAGGTGACTACTTGGGACGTCAGTAGGGTATTTTGTGAAATCCTTTGAACTATACACTGCTGTTAAAATGTTATATACATTTCAAATATTCGGATTATACTTAATTATGCATTTTTAAAAGTGAAACTGTTAATGCATTTCTGTTAATAGATATCTTTTTTGAAAATATTGATATCTTTCAACCATGATTATTTTTAGGATTATGATGATCAGTTACTGAGTAGCCAAACTCATCAAATTATGGTAAATATTTTTTTTCATGATAACTGCGGTTTCATTTTGAGTGCTCATTAGGATTAACTCAGGAAGATATTGTAGTTGTGCTTAAACTTTATTTTGTTACTTTGTAAGAATTCGCCACTGGAAATTTGTCCTATCAAGAGATGTATATATGTTTTGACTGTCACATCTCCGGAATATCAGTATTGTAAATTCTTGGGGCGTGACACCAGGACCTCATAGGGCCAGGGCTAGGCTTGCCCCAGGGCCTCTTTCCCCCTGTCAAAGCCACACCGGCCCTAGGCCAAGGCCTCTTTACCCTTGTTAGGGCCGGTCCTGTAGGGACTAGGGCTGGGCTTGGGCTTAGGGAAGGGCTGGACAAATACCACCTCTAAAATTCATTTCTAGGTTGCTACAAAATTTCATTGACTTTAAAATAAACTCAGGGTACGTTAGAACATAAAAACCATTTATTTTTAACACAAGGATGTCACAATCAAACTTGACCTTTAGATTTCAATCGACTGGTTATAAGCATATCATTAACTAGATTTAATAGTCCAAAAAAAATTCGAACTTTATGACACACCCCGAACCATCCAATTTAACACCTAGTGGCTAAGAGCACTTGTTTGTAAGAAAGATAAAATATCTCATCTTCTTATAACCAAAGTAAATGGTTTCATGGTATAAAGGGATTGTTACAAGGAGGTTACAAATACCTCAAGTCAACCAATTTCAATTTGGATATAGCTTGAGTGTTATCACAAAGTTCAAGAAATTTTTTTAAAAAATTTGAAGTTAGTCAATGACACACTCACAACCACCCAATTTGAACGCCAATAGATAAAAATGATTACGACCTCCTTATCCCAAAACGTAAATGATCTTTTTTTTATATTTACCCTTATATAACTATGCCATTAATGACATGAGTTTATAAACGGGTGGGAATCGGTAGTTGTTGGATCACCATCTTCCTATTTGACATCAAATCCCATGTCCCCACTCGCTCTCTTTCTCTAATGTAGGGAGGCTCTCCCTCTCCCGCTGTACATGAAGGGTTTTGATGCGTCCGCAACTCAAGTTCCGGTTTCTACGAGTCCTTGTAGAAATGAGGCGCCTCTTAAAATCTATTTTTGAGATGGATTTTTTGACTTAATTTTTAAAGATAAGTAATCACTAATATAGAGATCATGAATATGAATAAATAAATAAATAAATTTTTAAAAATTACAAATAATAATTCTATTAGGAAAACATGTGGATTATTAGTTTCAATTGTTTTTAGGTGGATTACCTATTTGCATCCATCTTTAAGATGGATGCTTAATACCTTTGGACCGCATATGAAGAAATGCGGTTCAATCTGCATGAAACAATTTTTCGTGTCTTGGTAGACTGCTTCCAAAATGTATGGTTATAGATTGATTTTGCATGGTTGATATTTCACAAGGTCATATCTAACGGCCATCAAGTAATTTTATATTTTATTTGTTATTTTTATTTAAATAAAATATTTATCTTAATTTTGGGAGTATAGGTTTATTTTTATAAAGTGAACTAAATAAAAATAATTAAATAATATTTTAATTAAAATAATCAAAATACCTCTAAATTTATTTTAATCAAAATATTTATTTTATTTAGTTATACTTATAAAAATAAAACGAAAACCAAATTTCAGATTAATATAATTTTAAATATTTAAAATAAAAAATAAAATTTATTTTTGGCCGCCCTTGAATGAGGCTGGTTCAATCTAGACAATTGAAAGGTGCTTGCGCACCTTTTAAGCATCCACAACTTGTGAACACAATACCACCTAGTGCCAATCTATTAACAACATAAGAAGATATTAATTTTTTCCCCCTTTTGTTATAATGACAAAAGATTTTAAATTTCTACCGGCGCATTTCAGATATTCACCGTATTGAGTACAAATCCATTTAGGAACTTTCTTATAACCCAAAATTTGAGGATATAACCTCCCCCTGCCAAGACACCAACTTCAAAATGTGTTTTTGAAATTTGACGGTGCTAAAAAATAATTTCATCATATTGAATAGAGCCCATCGGAAAAGAGCTCGGACTTAATTGGTTAGCACATAATGATTTGCAACGCTACATTCTAAACTCAATTCCTACCAAGGGTAGAAAAACACTCATTAGGTGATTTTAATATGAATTCGTAATTTCAAGAATCCTCTCAAGTAAATGTTTTGTCAAACCTAGTGAATACATAATGGAAAAAGTTTATATAGAGCCTAGGCTCTAAACAATCAAATTAGAGCCCACATTAAAAAAAAAAATCACTAGAAGGGGCTGTTTTGATGCTCAAATATCCTTAAAATGATTATTTCGACATCAATATGTGTGGACATGAGAAAAAAAATGAAATTTAAGTTTTGAAAATAGTGCATTGTAACATATTTTTGAACCGTCAATTTTCAAGTTTTCATAGATTTGATCGATTTACACTATTTTTTAAGCTTTATATTTTATAATTAAAGATTAACAAACATTTTAAAACTATCACAAAGATTTTTAGTATTGAAACTACGTTTCTCGACACTATTTGAAAGTGCGCTTTACTTTGATTGTTTAGAGCCTTGGCTCTAAAGAAAACGCACCCATTCACAATGCAGAAGAAAACGCACCCATTCACAATGCAGATCAGTAGGAGCATAGTACACTAGCTCTTTTGTGACGGTGGAGGGAAGAATATCAAGCTGGCTTTGGTTGCCAGAGTAACCAAATAATTTTGGATGGGGTTTTTATGGGTCAGCCAACTCATATGTACATTGTGCCCCCTCTCTAAAATTTACCTTAAAGATAGATTTTTGGCACAAAATTTCAGGGATTCATCCTCTAAGCCAAGCTGATTATAGATATGGAAAAAAGAAAATTTGAAACTTTAAAATGTGCTCCTTTTGGGTCTTATGTTAACGTGAAGAAATATATTTGTCAATGTAGAGTTAAAATGATGACTCCGGAGGATCGTTAAAAGCCCGGAGGAGTGTTCGATCAGATAGACTCGGTTGACTCGGCCCTGTCGGGATTTGAGGGTGACAGTCCTCCGAGGAAAATTTCGGATATCCGTACATGGGATTTGATATATCTAAGATTCAATATATATATATATATATATATATATATATATATATGTGGGTATTTCGGTAATTTATACAATTTATCTGGAAGATATATATTGTTGTGATAGGTTTTTTTAGAGTTAAGGGAAAAACGGTGATTTCTTAGTAATAAGAGATAAGAAAGAGACCTGAGGAAAAGAGAGCTATTGTAAGCTTATTCTCCATTGCCAGTAAATAAGCTCTCATCTCCCGTGAACGTAAGCACGTTGCTGAACCACATATATCTTTGCGTTGTGGTTGACTTTTCGTTTCTACAACTTCCATCTTAAATATTGACGTTGAAGAATTCGCGGGGCTCTTGCACCCACTTACTCATAGAACACTTTTCCAATAGTTTTTCTTGCATGTGTCTAGAAGTAATTGATAAGGAACACTTTTCTTACCGATTTGCACTTAATGTAGAAGAGAGAGAGAGAACCCGTATTCGTGGGTACCATCAAAAAATTTCTATGAATATTGGATCTGATCCATTTTTTTCTTAGTTTGATTCTAAGATCTATAAAAGCAAAAAAGAAAAAGGAAGATAGGAGAATGAATTAAACATACGACTTTCACTATAATGTCTAGATTCTAGAATGATGAAGAAGATAAAAATGTAGAAAAATGAATAAAGATCAAAATAAATAGGAGCTAAACCGAGAGGAAGCCAAAAATAATTTAAGAACACAGACAACTGTGAGAGACAGTGAAAAACGATAACAAAGACACACAAGGGGTGGAGAGAGAGACCTAAAAATCAAAGAGGGAACCAAAAAGTGAGAGCAATGGAGGCTTCAAAGGGAGAGAGAGCACCAAAACCTTTGTCTCCAACAGTGAGAATGTCTATAATGCCCTTCCCCGCGGTTCGAAATTAATTTGAAACTTTCGGTCTCGGAACAGTTTCGGCCTTGAGACAAAAGCCTTCTTAATCAATGTTATCATATCGGACCCGTCACTAGACCAATGAGGATCTCAAAATTGGTCCGAACCTTGAATATATCTCCATTTTCCACACGGTGAAGGCATTTTCCAAGTTGAAGTGACAAGCCCCTTGATAATTTAGATGGTCCTAATTATTGACCGACTCTGGGATGTCTTAGTCTCTCCAAGTTTCGATGGGATTTCTAAATTGTCTGTGGATGAATGAGAAAGCATAGTCTCCACTTTCATTTGTTGAATACAATCTCTTTTACAAGAGATTCAAGCATCCATTTTCATTTATTTAATGCAATCGATATGTAACTCACAAGAGTTTCAAGCATCTTCTTTGAACTCACAGGAGATTCAAGCATCGTGCCTATATTGAATTGAAGAAAACTTTGAGGTGGCGATCCTATCTCTTTATCCATCACCAAATTTTGCTGTTGTTGCCCTGGTTGTTGCGTGCCTTTCGATGAAAGCGATCAGTCTAGAGGCACAGCTCACTGCCTTGATTTTTTTGACAGATGAATTATCTCTCTACCACTTTAAGAGAGAAATAGGTCGTGCTTCTTATGGAGCCTTTGAGCTTGTGGAATGCGAGTGTTCCCTTATGTGATTGGCAAGGACTCGCATGTAGCCGGCAAAAGAAGAGAGTTGTTGGATTGGAAGTGGTTGGGCTTCACTTTAACGGCACTGTCAGTCCTCACATTGGTAATCTCTCCTACCTCACCAATCTCAAGCTTAGTGGCAATTTTTTCTAGGGCAAAATCCCAAAGGAGATTGGTCGCTTGAGTCACTTAAAGACTCTTGATTTGAGTTTTAATGATATCAGTGGAGCCATCCCACCTGGAATTGAAGACCTTGTTAGCTTGAGATTGTTAAATTTTAAGTCCAACAGCTTTCCAGTAGGAATTGGACAACTTCAACAGTTAAGTTCATTGCAATTGTCGATAAACAAGTATTCTGGTGAACTGCCTACACGTTTAGGAAACTGTTCACAACTCCTTATGTTGGACCTGCATAGCAACTTATTGAAAGGAACGATTCCGATGTCGTTTAAGAATCTCAAGAGAGTCGAACTGCTAGATCTTTAAAGGAATCACCTAAGGGGGAAGATTCCAAACTATCTACAAGATCTTCCACATCTGATCGGCTTATATTTGGAATACGACAACTTAGAAGGAGAGGTTACACAGCATGGGATACTCAAGGATCCTAAATCAGTTTTACTTGGAGGCAACAACAAGCTCTATGGGGGTGCAAATTTTATGAAACTTCATGCTTGCCCCAACCAATTTTCTCAGAAAAGACATTCTGATAAAAGAATGGAAACAGTGATCCTTGCCATTGTGGTGCCTATCCTGGCTTTGCTATCATGTGCACGTTTAGTGTTGATCAGAAGAATGGAACTAAGAAGCCACCTCCCTCTCAGTGTGCCACCCATAAGGCAATACAAAAAAGTGTCATACGAAGAGCTCTATGTTGCAACCGATGGTTTTGACATAGATAATTTGATTGGCTTTGGCAGTTTTGGCTCGGTTTACATGGGACGCCTTAGTGATGGAACTATTGTTGCGATTAAGGTTCTCCATCTAAATCACCGTAGAGATTTCAAGAGTTTTGATGCAGAATGTAGAGCCCTTCGTAGTATCCGGCATCGGAATCTTGTTAAGTTAATCACTTGTTGCACAAGCCGTGATCTCAAAGGTGGTGACTTCAAAGCCTTGGTGTTTGAGTTTATGCCAAATGGTAGCTTGGATCAGTGGCTCCACCCAACAACTCATTTAGTTATGCTTAGTGAAATTCTAAACCGCAGTTTGAACCTAAGCCTCTTACAGAGGCTGAACATTGCGATCAATGTAGCCTCTGCAATGGATTATCTACACCATGATTGCCCGACGCCCGTTGTGCATTGTGATTTGAAACCTAGCAATATTCTTTTGGACAAAGACATGACCGCGCATGTTGGGGACTTCGGCTTAGCTCGAATCCTTTCTCCTCTAACTCCATTAGAGAATCAGAGTAGCACACTGGGACTCAAAGGGTCCATAGGATATATACCTCCAGGTAACAACTTTCCCACTCTTGATGTTAACCAGCTTCATCCATCCAATTTTATTTTGAAACAATTTTCTTGCTTTGAAATTGATTTATTTCATAACAATAGCGAATTTCAAGGTATTTACAACTGGTGCAGAGTATGGATTCGGTGTTAAAGCGTCTACAAGTGGAGACGTTTATAGTTTTGGAATTCTATTGTTGGAGATGTTCACCGGAAAGGGGCCCACCAGTGACATGTTCCCAAATGGATTGAGCCTTTATGAATTTGTGAGTAAAGCATATCCTGATCAATTGATGGAAATTGTTGACACAGGGTTGCTTGAGGACGGCAGGGGATTGGAATGGCAAAATCAGATGATGCCATATCTTGTGTCCATTATAGCTGTTGGGCTGTTATGTTCCGTGGGTTCACCAAAAGATCGGATGAACATGAGAGATGCCTTAAAACATTTGCAAGACATCAAGCACTCACTTGGAAAGTTATCTTTACAAAGAACAAGAGGGGCATTGTGTGACTTGCCATGTAACTTAAGCACTGTTCCTCTTGTCAGTCACTAGTCTTGTATGCTTGGGGGTTCTTCTTATCAATATTTTGGAAGAGTGGATTAGTTTAAGCAAATGATGAGTCCTTTCTTTTCTTTTCTTCTTCTTCTTCAATTATTATTATTATTTTTGTGGAACTTAAATATATTTCTATGTAACTCCACTCTTTGTGAAGTCATTCCTCATATGTAAAATTCAAGGGAATATTATTCTTAACTTCTTTATGGACATGACTGTGGACACATTGAAAGTAGTCAAAGTTCACACCTATGGATGTAATCAAACAAATTGGTCAACCTCGTGGATCTTGTATCTTGTGTAGGCGAATTGATTTCTTTTGTGGATTTTTGGTGGTTTATAGATTTTCCTTTGTTCTTTGTGCCTGCAATGTTCTTACGCACCACTTTTACATTGCCAAAAGATTTACCTCCTCCCATAGGAGACTACTATCCATTTTCTCCCTAGAGATTGGAATGTAATTTTTACAACCCATAGATAATCTCCATAAAGAACATAATTCCAAAAGAAACTCTCTAAGTGCTAGAAAAAAAACTTATGCCTCAAGATTAAATAGAAGACGTCCAATTTTTTAAGGGCCATATCTAAGTGTCACAAAACTTAAAGTTCAACAATTTTTCTTTTAAAAATAATTATCTAGCAGTTGTTATGTATTTCCCAAAAATTGGGACTAAGAAAATTCTCTGAAGTAAGTGTTCTGAACGAGGGAGGAGATGCACACTTTGTTCCTACAGGAACATAGTATATGTCATCTATATATTTATTACACTCCACAAATTGATGAGAAAGGTAGTTGTCGGTTTTTTTTATAAGGGTGAGGTTTGTATAAGGTGTCAATTGTATACTATTGAAGTAAGGTGTACCTCAAAACTATGTTGAAAATGCAGTTTCAGTGCTGCAAAACCTTGTAATGATATGAAAAATTATTATTTTTCCCAATTATGAAATTTAAATTTTCAGAAATAGTGATAGCATATCTATAAACACTTGAAAACGCGTGAAAAGCACGAGTCAAATAATGTGTTAGAAGTTGAATTATTTTTAGGACTAGAAATCCCCATTATTTCATGTCTATGAATATGAAGGTTGAGATAACCTAGTTGAGGGTTTCCCAACATAGGAACAACCTTCTCTAGTGGGTTTTCTAGATGTACCTTACTTGTACAGTGTAAGGTTGACACCTTATATAAACTTTTTATAATAGTTGAAAATCGACACAGAGAATAAAAAATAGGGTATAGTGTGCAAATAGTAGATTGCCCCCTTTCATATATGTCCACAAAGTCCACATATGGAACGCTAGACAAAATTTGGTGAAGTTATTTTTCACTTGCTCATCAAATCAAGTGGAAAACGCGGGTCGAATGGAAAATGAGGCCTTCTTGGAAAGAGTTGGAAGAGAATATGATCAAAAGAGTGTCTGATAAACTCACTTGTGAAAAGGGTTGCCAATGGTCCGGGCCAGGTTAGGAATTTGGGCCATCTCGGGCTGATTTTGGGCTTTGGGCAACAAAAAAGACCCTCCCCCCTCTCTCTAACATTAGGGGTGAGAACGGGTTGGATCGCGGCTGGATCCGAATCCTGGTGCAAATCGAATACTGGATATTTGGATTTAGATCCTTACATCGATCCAGATTATATATATACGATTAAAAAAGGGCAAGCTTTCTATGCTTCCCATGCAGCAAAAAAACTTATATACTTTCCCTTATCCAACCATCCATTCTGAATGGAAGGCTAAGATTGCCCCAATCACAATGTCATGTCTCTACACTATTTTATTTTTAATTTTTTTTTATAAAGTATTTTGACTCCAAATTTGGACGTCCAATCCTCTATTAAACTCCCACTAGCAAAAAATATTAAAAAATATTTTCAATAAAATAAAATAAACAAAATACCCTTGAAAGTTTCAAGGGGTATTTTGGTCATTATATTTTATAAAAAAATTAGTTAAATATTTTTCATAGGTGAACCCCAATGAAAAGATGGCACGTACCAAATGCCATATTCATACAATCTGTATAAAAAAAAACTAAAAATACAATACTTTGAGACATTGGATCTAAAATCAAACAATGAGTGGCTCTCTTGATCTAAATTGGAAGCGTAGATGGTAGGAGAAGCATAGATCTTCTATGCTATAAGGGAAGTATAGA